TCGCTCACGTAGTCCCTCGCAATATTTAGTGAATCTTCATATAAAACTGACTTGAAAATCATTACTCTTAGAATCATTGCTTTTTCTCGTGATTTTTGGAAAAGTCCGGTAAAATTTCCGGTCACCACCTAGTCTTCACCTCATTAAAAATTTGATAATTTGAATGATAGATCCTACTGAACTTTTGTCTTGAACACACAGTCTCTGAAAAAATCACCGAAATTACGTGCATATAGTGAAAAAATACTGTAACGAGGAATTGATAGGATGGCGGAGAAAGAGCGCGCGTCACAGGCACTAAAGGAGCCTTCCACGATTTGGTGGTGGCGTGCCAGCCGATGTCCCGGACCAGTCAACGGATCGATATACCCTTTTTTTCTTCCCTCCAACCCTCGGACGTGGACGAGGCACGTTTTCAACCAATCTCAAGACCACACGGAAATTCGACAATTCCAAAAGAACTGGAAACCCGCTATGAACACCGCTAAACCAAGTCATTCATAACTTCAAACAAACAAGTAATTGAAAAATAAAAAAATCGTACATTTTCATTCCTTTAATGCAAAATAGAGGTCACTAAAATTCTTAGCCCCTAGTGGAGTAAAAATAATATTGTAGTAAATAGGGCAAGAGATTGAGAAAGAGAGAGAGAGAGAGAGAGAGAGGGAGAGGGACAGACAGACAGACAGAGAGAGAGAGAGAAAGAGAAAAAGAGAGAGAGAGGGAGACATTGACGTTGAAAAAAAAGGAGAAAAAGTGGGTGGTGTGGGTGTGGGTCGAATGAACGAGGAAGTAGAGGAAGAGTAGACGGCGTCGAAAGACAAGAGATCCTTGAGTTCTCTTCGAGCACTTTAGCCGACCCCCTCTATCACCCCCTCTCAAGCAATTCCTATTTTTCCACCCTATTCTACAGTGAAATACAAAAAAAGGAGAATATTGGAAAAATTGACCACAATCAGCTATGATTTCTTCTCGGAGAATTCACCATTACGGATAATATTATTAACCATTAAGACGTACCCCAGATGAATGAAAATTAATAGAAATGATGTTTTCTGCCTTATACTTCCCGTTAAATATATTTCCAACTGTATCGATTAGACTTCTCTCACAACTTTGGTGACACTGAGAATTATTTATAAGATTTTATACACTGGCGATAACGTGATAGTTTAAGATTAGCACTGGATTATGTATGGCAAGAATGCTAAATGAAAATGAGGAAATTTTTCGAGGGAAATACACTTAATAACTTTCCATTAGTCAAGAGAAAGCGAATGGCGCGCGATGTACATCTCTCAACTACCGACGATCGAGGGCGGACATGTTTGACGGGGGTGAAGCGCAGGCTCAAGAATAGATGGAAGTTACATTAGGGGTTGTAAGGAAATAGTACGCGCGATGGTATAGTGCGATCAGACCATTTACTGTAGAGGTCAACATTTGTGGGTTCAATGTTTCCGTTTATTTTCACTGTGCCACATGGGCCATTTTGGCTTCCAATTCCAATCCTTTAATATTAACAACCGCTAATTTTCCTTCCAAACACTACATAACTCAAATGTTAAAATACAAAGTTTAATTACCGTGTCTGTAAGTCACGTCCAGCGTTGCCTAAAAACTCAAGTGATTTAACGGCTGCAGTAATGTCAAAAAATGAAATTCAGTCACATTATATACATTTGACGACGACTAGCTCTATACATTTAATAATAACTGCCATACATTTGCAATGACTTTGCCATTAGCCAGAGCGATAAAATAAGAGGAGCAAGAATGATTCACTTCATCTTCACACTACGGAGAAATTATTTTCATCAGCCTAAAAATATTAAGAATGACGCGATAAATGCACTAGCTGAGTTCTCGGTCGCTGAGGTGATATTACAATAGAACCGGCTTGTTTTCCGATGAATGGAACAAACTGATGTAACTTGCTATAAATATTTTTACTAACAAAATAATAAATATTTGTGGTCAGCAGCGGATGATAGATACATGAGAGAATTTGCTAACAAAATAATTATAGTTTCAGTGGCTTTTTTATTAACTTGATTTCTTTCTTTCTTGTTTTTTTTCTTTCTTTCTCTAGGCCATATATTGCTTCCAGCAAGTTTAATGGTTAGAAATGAAAAGAAGTTCTTGTACCAATCGCTCACATTCTACTTCGTACATCCACGCATCTTTACGGCGCATTTTATTCCGTCTTGTTATTTATATACATGCTAAGATATTTACAAAATTATTGAAAAATCAAAAATAATTGGTAATAACTATATAATTATAAACAAATTACTTAATTAATATATTTTTCGAAGCGGTTTTGTAAATTTGATAAGGTATCAATAAATGAGGTCAAATAAAAATCCGCCCCGAAGATGAGTGGATTTGCCATTCGAAATATTAGGGATTTATAGAACTTTTTATTTTTCAGTTTCATTTTTCCAATTAAAATTTGGAGAAATTGTATAATGACGTTGAGGAGAGGAAGTCGAGAGAATTTGCTGTTTGTCAAATATCTTATGAAAAATTGAACAAAAACAGAAACAGGCAAAAAATCCATTTTCGGAGGATAACGCTCATTCTCCATCGTCCACTAACTCAATCAGTGCCTTATGAATCAAATGACTATTATACAATTATTGAAGGAGATGCAAAAAGGAAAGAAGTATAAGCCATGTCGTTACAAAGATCTTTGTTTTGGACGCCTTATTACTGCTTTATTTGAACGTAAGGTAATCTTCATTGAGTAGTGTAGATGAACTAGGTACTGAGTAATGCGAATTTGTGAATACTACTCTTTCTATTTGTTTTTCAGTGGATTATTATATGTATTGGTTTAATTTAACTGTTCCAGTCACTGTTTAGTGTTCATATTAACGGATTAATGTTAATGAAAATTATAGATGCACAGATGGGTTTTGAGTCCACGGACCTGCAGATATCCTGCCTAATATTGTGGTTAACTGCGGTATTAGGAGTCTCCTTCATTTCCGACATATTTGTTAACCATTTAAGCTTACACAGGGGTGGCGCCAACTACCTTTCCACCATTTATTAATAATTTTTGGGGTAGGAGATCTGTTTTAACATTTACTCATCAGTTTCGTCCACCTTTGGGGCATGAAAAAAGAAGTGAAGAAGTTTTTGTAGAGAGAAAAATTCGGTCAATGCTTAGTATAGCTCCACCTAATCAACTGTTTTGTAGGGGAGTATGTTGTTTTCAACGTCAATTAAGGATCAAAAGGTTTTTTTCGGGGGAAATAAATAGGTTAACACCGCTCTTTGCGTTATCCAGAGCCACGACGAGGACGTGGCGGTGCCATCAGCCCCAAAGACAACACATGCCGTTACATTTATTATGTTAGAGCGGATAGGCAAAGAGATGAACGCTTTAGACAATCCTAAACGAATTCCTCAGTCACTAATATTTTAGTACAGTACTGTATCTCACTGTGGTCACTCTGCTATTGGATTTAATTCAAAATGAATATAAACTCACTCAGCCATCATGTCAACAGATCCAGAAGGGACTGGTTGCAGGCATTTTGGGCAACTAAAAGGCTCGTTCAAGCCTGCCTTACCGTGTATGATGAGATCCTCACATTTAACTATCAGCGCTATAACCATAACTAATCACTCTTGTAAATTAACGGGCTAGCTCGAAGGGAACCCAGAGAAATGAAAATTCGCGAATGAATATTTCAGGTGGAGCTTAAATAAACATTTACGTAAAATTCGATTAAAATTACAAAAAAAAAAACAAAAATTTACGGTTCGCAACATTATCCACAAGCGAAATCAAATTCACTTAAGGGAAGGAGCGAAATTGAAATTGTACGAATGGCCAGTTGAATTGTATAATTTTTTTCGTAACAATTAGCAACGCTACTAATAACTCACTACTGCGAGAACAAGTTATTCACTCATTTTGGTCCAACGATTAAAAAATTTCATATAGCAAAGATAAATAATTTGCAATTGAAATTAGAAAATGCAAAAAATTGGTCAAATAAAGGGCTTCTATTCGGAATCAAAAAGGGAAAAAATGGAAAAATTCACTGAAGGCTATGGAGACTGAGGAAAGAAAACAATAATTTATTCAAACAAATTTCGATAATACCCGACAACGCCATTTTCGAAATTTCTTGACTTTTTAATTCATAACCTAAATTCCACATTTTGTTTTTATATCCTCCAAGTCACCTTATATAGTAGGACGAGTGCTTCTCTAGGGGACCGAGATTCCTCACTCCTCCTCTCTTCTAGATAGCCATAGTCAGTAAATTTTATCAATTAATCCGTACCTAGTAAACCCAAAACCGCTGAATATGATGTGAATTCCATATCGAAATCATACCAGCATTTAGCGTTACCTAGGATTCGCGACAGGCATGTACGTGGTATGAACCTCACAAAAATCATGTTTGATCTGGGTATCAATTTTATGATAACCGATAAAATTAACTATTATATTCGAGCCTCGTCTTTGAGATTTTCAATACTCGTAGTAGCCCGGCAGTGCTACTTGGAGCCACACACATCCAAAGAGTAAGAAAGAAATCGATCATCGCGCCTCTAGCGCGGGAGCCTACCAACTTTCCATTGTTTCGTGTATGTGGGAGTATTTCGCACGCAATTTCAATAGAGTTGTTTTTTATTTCGGTACATTTATTGAATTGTGGGTCAACATAAGAAGAAGCATGAGGAGAAGGTCGAGATACTTCCGAAAATTCAAAAACTGAATATTCCAGGTGGAGCGTCTCTTCGCACAGCCACCGGAAGATTTTCATGGTAAGTATAACTTAAAATAACCGCAACGAACTTCGGCTTGATCCTAGAGACGAAGCCACAATCGTCTAGACCTCATAGAATCTTGGGCATTTCCTCAGCGAACAACTTACGACTTAATCTCTCCTTGTGTCGTCAATTTTCCGGGAAACAAGGAAAATCAAGATGTTAGGAATTTAAATACACCATCTGCCCCCGAGGCATCTGACATGCACAAAAACGGTAGAAACACCGAGGCGTCGGCTACGTCTGACACATCTGTACCAGAGGCACTCATCCCAGAGACAAACAGCCCAACAGCGGCCTTACAGGGTGCAGTCTCTATTGAGACTGATCCTGTCATTGTGGATTTAGAGCAGGCATGGGCAAAGTGCGCTCAATGGGCTCACCTAGCTCCCAACCCCAATGAGGCCAATGACTATAAAAGAATGGGGCATATTCATGAAGAATAGGTTAGGTCAATAACTATGAAAGAATGGGTCCTATTCCTGAAGAATAGAGACCATTCTTCATGGTCCTATTTTATGATGCAGGTAGGCGGAGGGGTGAGACCACGATGTTTAGGTCAGAATGGGGGTATCGTTACGTCAGTCAACGCGCAAAAATTTGAATTTTTGAAGGAAAAATATGATCATTTTTCTGGCTCTATTTTGCATCATTAAAAAATATCAATTATATAAAAATAATTAGCTACAGACAGGGATCGAGTAAAGGTAATTAAAAAATGTTCACAGACTAAAAAATGTGCTATGTGGCCAACAGTGGGCAAAACTTATAAAATAAACCTTACATTGATAATCTACTGATTGAATTTTAGAAAACAGACATCTCATATTTTTTTCAACTTTCAATAAAGTAATTATTTACCATTAAGATAACCAAGAAATATTCAATTTCTTAAGGATCTTTCACGCTGAATTGGTAAAAATTTGTTCGAATTTTTGGGCGGTAACGATACCCGGACTCTGACCCAAGCATCGTGGTCTCGCCCCTTCGACGACCTGCACAATACAATTGAACCATGAAGAATAGTCTCTATTCTTCATGAATAGGGCCCATTCTTTCATATTAGGGTTGGGAGCTAGGTAAGCCTATTGAGCACACTTTGCCCATGCCTGATCTAGAGGATGCCTCGAGTGTGGGCCCGGAATTATTGGAAGTCCTGGGCGCGGTCCCATCTAAACCCCAAGAGCTAGAAATATCTGTAAGGTGAGCTAGCAGCTTGCGGGACAGTTTGGTTAACAAAACCACTGGGAAATAGGTTCTGGATAAATTAATGGAAAATTATCGGCACACGTCGACAAAATGCCAGTCTGAAGCCCCAAAACTAAATCTTGATATTTTAGCTATCTCAACAGATGTTCTGATTCATAAGGATAAAAAATGTTGTGCCTCACAGAACCTTGCAACTCCTTTGACGTCACAAAAATATGGAACACTATATATACTTCCCCTTTTCTATGTAAAAATGATTGCCGTATGGAGGACGGCGGTACTCGATATAAACAGAGAGTGAAATGAAGAAATGGCTAAGAGTCGGATAGCTCAATTGGGAGAGCACCCGATGCATAATCGGAACGTCCCGGCCTGAAATCCCGGGTTTAAATTACGGTCTGGACTATCCATTTTGTCAGTAATTTTTCTTGTCAAAATTATATCGAGAATTATTCTGTTTTCCTCCTACCTAATCCAAATCTTACCCAATGACACCTTTGACGTCACAAAAATGGAACGCTATAAAAACTTCTCCTCTTCTATGTAAGTCCTGGTTTCACTGGGAGCAGCTGTCGCCAACCGTTTGGAAGATGATGAAATAGACAAGCTTGATCTCCAATCTCTTTGACAAGGTGAAAGAGGTCAAGACTTTGTCTAAGCTCAGGCAAGACCTCTAAGTTACTCCTGCTCCATCGAAGAAACAGAACAATGTAAACGCGAAGGGCCCGCTTGTCAAGTTCAGGAGGCCACAAGGGGGCACGAGACCTCAAGAGAAGCTTCGAGTGAGCAACAGCAGGACCACCAGCTTCTTCAATCGCAGACGCCGTCTTCCCAGCAGCCAGATGCCGACCCACCAGACCCAGAAGAAACCTGGCTGGTAATGTCAGACACTTCATATCTAAGTGGAGAAGTATCTACACATGAACCTTCCTTCTGGAGTGTGTGAAGGCTTATAAAATCCCCTTTAATTCTCCCCCTTTTCAATGAGGAGCTCCTCCAGAGCTGATTTTCTCTGAACTAGAGGGGAAAGTCATTAGTGCTGCGATAGTTAGGCTATCAAATCTAGAAGCGATTGAACTCTGTACCCCCTGTGCGGGTCATTTTATATCCTTCTATTTTTTGATCGATAAATCGAATGGCACGAAGAAATTTATTTTGAACCTTGAAAAATTCAATAAGTTCATTGTACCTCCTCATTTTAAATTAGGATACGTGCACGGAGAGAAATATTTACTAAAAATTACGGAACTTTCAGTTCACTTACCGATTACGGAGTTGATTCGAAAAATTTAAGTAACGGTATCGTTATTTTTCACCGATAATTCAGATAAAAATTACGGAACACCGCGGAAAAATTCCGTGACTTTAGATAAAAATTACGTGACAGTTCCGTAAAATTTCCGACAACCACATTTCGCTCCAGAATTACGGAAAATACACATAATTTTTATTGAATATTTCTCTCAGTGTGGAGAGGGTGATAAAGTTAATTTGACAAGATGCTTTCATGGCAAAAGTTGTCCTAAAAGATGCTTATTTCTCGATCCCGGTGTGTCAGGAAAATAGAAAATTTCTTCGTTTCTATTTCAAGGGTAGACTTTTCCAGTTTACCTTCCTTAGCGTTTGGTGTAGCTACTATCCGTCATGCTTTCACTAAAATATCGAAACTAGTGATGGGATATCTTGAGCTAAAGGCCGGGTGTCATCTGTGTATCTAGGGTACAGTAGTTGTTCTCCTCTTGCCAGCAGAACCCTTTATTTCTATCTGCTCTGGAGGGAGAACTCATCAAATTCAAGGCCTCGAATGAGCTCTTAAATTCTTTTTGCAGATCATTGGTCCATCCCCCAGCTTACTAACTTACCCTAGCGGTAAGAGTATTATTATCCGGCAAGCCTGTATCAGAAGAGGTATCTCCACAGCAACAGCGGACATTATGACACAATCAAGTCAGCGCAAAAACAGTACAGTATTGAATTCTAGAAGTAGTGGGACTTCTGCCAGGAATTAAACATCGATTGTCTTACTGTATCGGCTCCAACAGTGCTCGAGTTCTTGTCTAAAGAGTTCGAACGAGGAGCGACTTATGGCTCCCTTAACTCTCACCATTTTGCACTCTCTTTAATGGGCGAGAAAGATATTGCAAGAGATCCAGCAGTCCAACGGTTTTTCAAAGGTCAAGCTTCGTCCTGCTAGGCCAAGGTACACTCATACCTGGGACTCTGAGTGGGTTTGTTCTACCTTGAATCCCTACTATCAAACGATGAGCTAACCGTAACACAACTCAGGGAAAAGACCGTTACTCTCTTGGCGTTAGGCACAGCTCATAGACTTCAAACTTTCTCCGCAATTAAGCTGGAAAACATTCAGCAAATAGCTGGAAGCTTCGAGATTATGATAGCGGGCAGAACCAGAACTTAAAGGAAAGGTAAGAATCAGCCCCTCTTGATTCTTCCTTTCTTGGCCCAGAGACCCCAAGTTTGCGTGGCAGGCACGGTCCTTACTTTTTATTACACTTAAAAAGCCCTACGAAGCAGTATCATCGCAAACATCAGCATCGTCGCTCATTGGGTTAACTCAGGGCTGGGCAAACTCTGCTCTGAGAGCAAGTCGTGCTCCCGACCTCTATTAGTGCGTAACAAAGGGTAGACGAAAGCCCATTGTATCGGGTGATGGGCCTTTATAACCCAGATCATAAAAGCCCTTCTCCTCTGCTGAGATCAACCGAAGTGGGGGTGACGCTTAAGAAAAGGAAAAGAGGAGAAATTAGACTCAAGTAAAGGAAAAGCAGCGAAATAAGTCGATCAGAAAAATTTCAATTTTTTTTCATGTGTGCATTAAAAAATAATCAGATGCGCGACAAGTTTTACCCTTCCGGAGGATAAATTCTTGCCAGATGCTTCATGGGATACTCCCCACCTTAGTACCTGTGAAGCCCCCACTACTGCCCCCACTATGCTAGTACTAAGACCCTTATTATTGAAATGGAAATATTATTGAAATGGAAATGTAAACTTTATTGGATTTCTAATTCGAGTTTATGGCTCTGCTCCGAGCTACCTGGAGATTGCCCATGCCTGGGTTAACTCGTGTCTTACCAAAGCCGGTATGGACACCAACGGATTTTCTGCATATAGCACAAAACACGCAGCTACTTCGACAGCAGTTTTCAAAGGTGTTAGCCTAGCTATTATTCGAAGCACAGCTGTTTCTATAACCGGCTTTGTGCTACGGATAGAGGTACCTTCGGTTAAGGCAGTACTGGGTAGTCAGTCCTAGTATGCTGGCTGTGATTTAATTTTTAAAAATTGTCATTCTACAAATATCTACAAGTTTCTCGAAGATTTCGAAGAAGTTTCTACAAAATCTCGAAGACGAGACATGAATATAATTGTACGATCAAACTAACTTACCTGTGAGTGAATTTCGATCGTCATTATAGAAGAGCCTCGTCGAGAGATTGATTCCCACCCATTATCAATACCCATACCCTCTCCAATTTTTTATAACGTTGCCTTAACTTCACACTAATCAAAAATTGGTAGGCACCCGCGCTAGGGGCACCACGACCGACATTTTTCTTTCACTTTGAATATGTTTGTGGCTCCAAGTAGCACTGGCGGACTACTACAAGTTTTTAATGTTTCGTGACGAGGCTCTTCATATAATCACGATCGAACTTCACTTACAAGCAAGTTCGTTTTTTACAATTTTGACATTGCTGCTACGTTTACCTCGTGCCGAAAACTGCCTTTCCATTTACTCGTAAACAAAACGTGAACGGGAAAACTTTCCGTTTACCGGTAACTTGGCTTCACCTAGGGACGCTACCTCCGCGCTCGTGAAAATTCACGCTGCACGTGTGTTCGTAAATCCACCTGATCGAACTGATGATGTTCCGTGCTCCCTAACGGAAGAAAAAAGGAGTTTTGAGGGTCGCATGGACTATCTAGGGAAGGTAATCTTTTGTTTCGATTTTATCTGTTTAGCCTGAAATACATCAAAATTTGCGTTAAAATTGTGTTGCAGGCACCACTCGGACGGTCATAAAAAGATAATGAAAACAAAGAGGAAAAATGATTGAAGAGTGGTGAATCGCGATAATGTCCGAAAAGCATTTACCAAGCTCACAAAACAAAAATAAAAAATACACAGTTTACCATTATTCTTCACTGAGTTGAGTGACAGATAGATGCAATGATAATCGGCGTATTTTTTATTATTTTTGTTTGTAAACTTGGTAGATCCTCTTCAATCAATATCACGATTTAGAGCCCTTCAATAATTTTCCTTCTTTTTTAAATTATCTTTTTATAACGAATCCGAGTGGTTCACGTAACACAAATTTAATTCCAAATTTTTGAATATTTAAGGCTAACAAGATAAAATTTAAACGAGCAATTGCGTTGGGTAAATCCTCCATCTAGTCATAAGTCGGAAAAAAGGTGCAAAATCACTCCCCTGTTCCCCACCCAGGTGGGGATTAACCATTGGTCCAAGCTTGGACCAAGACTAACCAGCTTGGCTCAAGCTTGGAATTCAAGATTGTACCAACCTTGGTTATTCCTTGGTTTGTAACGCTAGTTCAAGCGTGGACGTCGAGCTCGATCCAAGGTTGAGCCAAGATGCTAAAATGAAGGTAGTCCAGGCCTGGGTCAAACTTGGAGCAACCTTGATTCAAACTTGAACGTGAAATCTAGTCAATTATTGATAAAAATAGAGGAAAAAATGAAATAATTAGTTGTTTATCGTAGATACGAGACAATTTTGCCTCTATTGATCATTCCCTGATAAATTGGTCTTTGAAGAAACCTAATTAATTAACTTAAAAATTGACGGCCGCAACCGAGATTCGAACGCATGACCCTAACATTATGAAACCTACGCCTTACCACTAAGCTGACACGCACTTATAACTTCAAATTTTTAATTGCGCATATAAATTCTATGTCAACTCTATAGAAATACTGTTGTTGAATAACGCTCTATGTATTTAATGTAACTAACATCAGTAACTATTTACTTAATTTACATTATCCATTGACATAAGTTACTCTTTGCTGGACCCCCACACCCTCCCTTCGACGACTCCTAATCGTTATTACGAACATACGCAGTAATTTATTCTATCTGTAACTAATTGATTGTTGTTATTATAGCTATTATTATTATTATTATTATTGTTATTATTATTTTATTTATCTATTTCAGGCTTGATCCAAGCTTGGAACATGGTCGGAATTTCCGAGGTACCCAAGCTTCGATTTGCCTATTTTCACCAAGTTTTGTTAAACAATGTATTACCATAACATCAAGGTTGGTTCAAGATATCAATTCCAAGGCTTGGAATGACCTAGACATCATATATTGGATCAAGCTTGGTTGAAGCCGCGCGGTTGAAGCTCGGAATACCAAACCTGGGCCATGATCGAAACTACCTTGGTATACAAGCTTGTATTTGCATTACATCACCAAGCTCGGTTGAACCATGACAATTCCCTAGGATCAAGGTTGGTTCAAGCTAGCAATTCCAAGGCTTGGAATGACCTAGATATGATATATTGAATCAAGCTTGGTTCAAGCTAGGAATTTCAAAGCTTGGTATCCTAAGCTGATCCAAGCTTGGACCCATCGTTCAAGCTTGGATTTCCTCACCTGGGCACCTTCAACTAGTCGGGACCGACGCCCTCAGCGTCGTGATCACTGTTAGTTTCGATGTTGGTTGGTAGCTAGTCGAGGTATCAAATAAATTCTACCGAAGATGGATGTAGTCGTATATATTACCCAAATTTCAATTCTCTCACTCTACCTTCTACGCTGACAACGATCGTTTCAATAAATCTGCATATCCCAACTGCTCACTATTCCCTTTATTAATTAAATCTTCAAAACAATAATTAAATTGAATTTTTTGACAACTTTAAAATCGTGTACATGCATACGCACGCCTTTTCGGCACCTATTTATCTGTCAGTCTGTCCCTTGCTCATTTGCAATAGTTTCTTGTAGCCCCTTGAGTACCCCCTTAATCGTTGAATCTCAGCTCCCGCTTTCGTATTCCTCTGGTCACGTGCGAGTACTTATGATGTTTGCAGTTCATCTCCATAAGTCTCTATTTACCAACCATAGAATTTTCAATCAATTTTCTCACATTTTTCTGGTTTTTCTCTTCGGGTTTGAGGATTTTCCTTTTTATAGGTAGTCATCTCAGAATCGAATAACACGCGGGTGGTAAATCATTGAAATATAAAGTCACAAAAGTGAAGAAAATTGGCGCATGGTCATCCGAGAAACATGGCGCAAGTCCGAAACTTAAATAATACGAAATCCGTAGATGAGGAATCGGGAATTGGGCAAAAATGGAAAAAATAAAGAATGGAAATGGTTTATCCGTGAGAATGAATAATATTAAAAAAATATGTTTGGTATTCGATTTCGTGATCTGAATATAAATGGGATAATAAAAATCTGATGTGGCAAACTCGTTGAATGATATTTACATAAATCATCTCCTTGCCAGCCAAAATATATTAGATTCACAAAAATTCTGGGGATGAATTAGGCATTCGTGATCGTAATTTCGATATAATAAAATCGAAATATCAAAATATTTGGCAATTATTTTTCTATGCTCCTACTGATCACTATATGCATTCCAAGATAATTAGACAATCAGTTTAATGATAATAAAAAAATTGTTAAATAAGAGATGTTACGCACGGATGTGCCGTAAATTTCTACTAATGTATGTGGGTTTTGGAAATCGCATTCGGATGAAATAGCAGATAACTCAAGAACGAAGTATTGAATGAACACGGAAACCTATGAACGCTTGTTCTTTCGAGCTCGGGTATCGATTACCGGCCCGAATACTGGAAGAGTTTTAATTGCTTAGTGAGAATTGAGGATAACTTGAACAGTAAGCGAAAAACTACGTAAATTATAGTCAAAACTACAGTTTCTGCTCCTTTTTCACTTGGTATTTCTAACTCTGCCAATTCTTACTCACCAATTAAATCGATCAGCGAACACGGAAGAAGTTTCAGTCGGCGTAGGTTTCAATATTCATTCAATTCTACGTTCTTGAATTATTCGCTTGACTTTATATTTCATCCGAATGATTCCCAAAACTCGGATACCTTAGTGAAAATTTACTACAAATTCGTCGTTGAATATCTAATATATAACAATATTTTTATTATTATTATAGTGATCATTTAATTACATTGGAATGCATTCAGCCGGTAATAAGTACACGGAGCGAAAAACCCCGGAAAAATTACGTGACTAATCACGT